AAATGCACAGAATAAATCAAGCTGCCTTTTATGTTACATGCTGTGAAAATTCCAAGATGTGCCACAGACCTGAGCAAACATTCTCCCCACGATGAGAAGGGCTGCAAAGCCCTGCTGCTCTCCCCAAAAAGGGATGCACACAAAGGGCTCAGATGGCATTCTCACCGCATGCCTAACGCCCTGCCAGATTAGCTGGTGCTAATCACACTAAACCCCGGGTTTAAAGCAAATTCATGCTCTAAGTCCTGCCTAAGAGGCTATTTGGCAAAGCACAGCTGCTTTATATGCAAAGGGAAGGTGGGCGCAGGGGGAGACGGATCTGCGATTTATGACCACTGTGAACTCCCATTTCCATTTAACAAAGGCTTAACTGAAAACCACGATTCCAATCTTTCAGGATTTCCAAATTTAGATTTCAGAACAGGGACTTAAATGTCCAAAGCTTGACAGCTTGTAGATGCGGTTTAATGATGAATCAATGCTGCGGCTTAGAGCGCTTGTAGTCCATGTTAAGAGTCCCCCTTGGTTCTTCAGCAGGTTCCTGACAATGTTGATCCGGTTCGTGGTGACTGGTCCTGGTGGCATTGTGCCTCGCTAGCCCTGAGAGATCATCCCTCCCTGACAGGCTGCTGCAAACCTGCTCGCCCGTCCCTCCGTGCCAGCCTGAATTAGGATCACTTCCATTTTTTTAATTAAAAGGTTTTGACCAGTGTTCTGCCCAAGTCTGCATACCTACACCAAATAAACTTGTATCATAGCATAGAAATTAAGGTCTAGGAGATCTGCTTCCCACCAGTCCTGGCTGATTGGCATCGGCTGCATCACTCTCCATTAACCCTTCATTAGACATCATCAGCAATTGTGTTACTTTGACGGGTTCAGTGTAAAGCTGATTAACCTGTATTCATCCAGATAATCTGATTTCCCTTTTGCAAATATTTCTCAGTGTGAGCAACCCTGGCAGGCTCCGGCAGGCTGGGGAAAGCCACCCTCTTCTCCTCGTTACCTCTGATGTTTCATTTCTCATCCAGAAAGCTTTCCCTTCCCCTCCAAACCAGGCTTTAGCTGTAGATGTTTTCTCACACTGATGTGAAATCACAGCTTTCACGCTCTTTAATAAATTATTCTTAAGCAGTTCCCAATTACCATTCGCACGCTGCTGTCTAAATTCCAATTAGCTCGTAATTATTCTTGGCTTTGTGGAACCGGCCGCTTGAAAGCAGCACACACTCACACGTGCACACACATATAGATATTTTATTGCATTAAATTATATGATCGATTGGGGATTACTATATTAGAAGCTTTGAAAGCTCCTCCTGGGCTGCCTGGCTGACACGGCAGGGCAGAGAGAGCTGCTCTTCACTTTTTCCACTTATTTTTGGAGTTCAGCGCAGCCGCTGCATTAATCACATCTCTGCACACACCCTCCCGGCTCCCCGCGCATCGTCTGGGCTCAGCACCGCAGAGCTCTGGCTGCGCTTTGCAAATGCCAGGGATCCAAACCGAGACCCCAGCAGAAAGGCAGGAGGAAACTCCGGTTAATATTTAATGTTTCCATAGGAAGCAGCTGTGCGCGGCTCTGCCACGTGGTGCGGACGCTCTCGTGGCACGGAGGGAGAGGGGAGAGCAAACACACATCGCCCACACTGGTGGAAAAATCCATCGAAAACATGCCTTTTCGTTTAAAGAGCTGGTTACAGCTCAAATCACTTCAGCCATTGCATATAGTAGTGTAGCTAAATTTATTTTTTAGCTTGAAAACTAAAAAAAAAAAAAAAGTTATGCCTTAGAAGGAGAAAGGCTGAGCGTGCCTGCAGGCACTGTCTGAGACGTTTCCAACGGCTTTTTATGCAAGCAGAGCTGCGACTGTGGCCTGACCACGCAGGGAAAGACGTTTGCAGAGCTCGGAGGCTCCAGCATCCCAGGGGACCACATCCTGGATTCAGCACTGGGTCACCAGTACCGTCTTCCCGGAGCACCAGCTCGTGTATGTGCATCTCTGGGTGTCCTTTCCCACCTGTAAATGCTCCTCCTCGAGCACGTGCTCCCAAGTAAGCTCCAGCACCAAGCCAGCACCCTCCTAAAATCCCCAGCTCTTCATCAATTGACTGATTTGGAAGAACCCTGTAGACCAGACTTGTTTCAGCACACCAAGGCTGCAGAGCAAACCAGGGCTTTGCCAGCTGATCCTTTACATCCCTCAAATTTTCCATAGGTGTACACATGTCCTAGCTGAGGACTGTTTAATGTTGTGTTTCATTCACTGCAATAACTGCCCTGCTCTCTCGCAGACAGCAGGCAGACGGGCTCAGCATGCCCCGAACTCGCGGCTCTATCGCACACAGAGTTTTTTATTAATTTGCTGCAAGCCTTCAGCAGTGTGCAGAACTGATTTTTTTTTTTTTTTTTTTTTTTTTCCTTGGTCCCTGCATGGACAAAAGCCAAGCTTTATAAATCAACTGTGTAAACAGAAATATCCTTCTTCCTTGAATGTGATTATTATTTCGAAAAAGGAGGCTGTCGTTTTCAGAGGCAGAAAACCTGTTTAATCTGGAGACACTGGCTCCGATGCCAGCTGCTAGTTACCATAACATTTTTCTTCTGTCCTAAATTTCAGAGAAAAAATTAAAAAATCCCATATAGACTGGTTTTGGACAGTCTTTGACCAGCTAAGGTAATTTTCAGAGCCCCAAACACTTTTTTCTTGCGTTACATCTATAAACTCTTTTTATAGCCATTCTCAGCGGTGGCCTCACACCCCCCAGTGAAACCAGAGCTCTGCCCGGTTGCACTCCCATTATACATTTTTTTGGCCTTCAAGAGCTTAGTCTAAAAATAGGTGATGAAGAATGGGAGAAGAGACGTGGCGTCCCCAGGAGGGTGGAGGGGAGCTTCCCCAAACCCCACAGAGCTGGCGGCAGAGCCAGGAACCAAATTCCCGTCTCCAGGAATGCTGTCCCTCCGCTTCCAGTGCTTTGGCATTTGTGTTTGTGCTTTTATTTTGCATCGGTTCTTGCTGCAAGGACATACTTGATGCAAAGCAGCTCCTGTGTCTCAGCAGGGCTAACAGATATCATTTACTCATTGTCTTCTAGTTATAAATATTTACCAGAGGACAAAGGAAGGAATGGAATCCTCCGACACTGTGCACAGGGTGCTCAGGATGCAGATAGACCCAAATCCTGCAAAGGCATCGATGGCACCGACATGGTGCCCCTATGGACCATGACACAAATGCATTAATGCAGAATATTTGTTTCTGGAGTCCAAGGTGATTTGTGGGACCAAGGAAATGCAGCAACTCCAACAGGGTGGCTTTGAAGGCACCGGTGCAGGACACACGGAGGAACCTCTCCCCTCCACGAAAGGTGCCGACCAACATCAAGAGAGCCGGGAGATGGAGAAGGCACCCGGGAAACATGAGGCATGAGAAAAGGTGACACAAATGTGGTGTTTAATCCAGAACAGAGAAGATGACAGGAAAGGCTTTTGCTTGGCATTTGTGAAGCAAAGTCATTTCTTTTCTTAGAGGCTGTTTGAGGTCCCTCCAAAAAGAGGATGAGTAAAGTTTTCCTTTTTCCTGGCAGCTTTGGAAAGCCTGAGGCTGCATTTCCCCCCGTGCTGCACATGGCTCCACGTGCCCATCTCCAGGTGGCTCCTGCCCATCCCTGCGGGTCTGGGATGGGGACCACTGCTGTGGCGGGAGGGGATGGAGACAGGGACACAGGGATGGGGACGGGGATGGGGATGGGAGGGCTCCAGGAAGGCTGGGCTGCAGGAGCCCAGCGCTGGAGGGTGACTCATGGAGAGCTGGAGGCTGCTCGGGTTCATGCTGGGACAGGAGCAAACCTCTGCATTTCGCCTCGTTGCTCCTTGCTAACGGAGCCGCGCAGCCCAGCACCAGCAGCACGTGTAGATCTTCCCTGCCCCCTGGTACGGGTGCAGCCCTGGCTCTCCAACAGCCCCTCTTCCCCCTCCTCATCCCTCTGGAAGCAGAATTTTGAATTTAAAAAAATAAAAAAGAAGTATCGTGCTGCAGTCTGTTTTAATCACCTGCTAGTTTTTTTTAACACCACCAATATAAAAACATTCCCAGCATAAGTCATCTGCAAGCAATTTGAGTTCTCCCTTACATAACCCGGGTCCACCTACAGCTTTAAAAGTTGATTTGTTTCTTATTTCATTCTGCAAAGAATGCAAACTCCTTTTTCCATCATGACAACTCTCTCCTGCCTCTGACCCATGGCTCCGAGCTATGGGGGACGGGTGACCGCCGGGCGCAGCAGCACCTGGAGCAGAGACGTGGGACCTTCTGAGGACCTCAGCTGAGATGTCCTTGGCCTGGGTGAGCCAGGGAGGGATGGGGAGGCTTTGTAGGGGTTTTAAAAAAGCAGGGGGGTTCCCAAGGCACTCTTGCAGCTCATCCCTCCTTCAGTAAGGCAGAGACTGTTTCAAAAAAAAAACAAAAAAGTTTTTTGGAGTTGTGACCTGAAGAGGGAAGGGCACTGTGAAAGGACAAAGCACACCTTTTCCCTCCTGATGTTCTCAGGACAATCAAAACATTGCTGGGCTTTTCAGTCTTAGTGCAGGAATGATGCTGGAACTTGCACTGTGTAGGATACCCATCTCTTTTAACTTCCCTTTTATAATTATCTTTACAATTAATGGCAGTTTCCATTCCTGCAGCCCTTCAAGAAGCTTTTGTCACCTTCACAGCTCATGCACAGAAGCCAGACCTTTTATTGTGGGTTTGTTTTTTTTTTTTTTTTTTCCTCCTTTCTCCTGCCTAAAAAGATCCTGAAATCTCCCAAAGAAAAATTATTTCCATGTGATCCCGGCACTTTCTCTCTTGGCTGGAACGCTGGATGTGGTTTTGGGTCTGTGGTTTTTTGATCCATTTTTTTTTTCTATTCACAAATTTTTTTGCTTTTCATTTCCATCATTGTGAGAGGCACCGTGCAACCCATCAGACCGGCTGCGAGTCCAAAGGAAACTGCAGCAGGACAAAAGCACAGGAACCCAGCACGAGTTGATGCAAGCAAAGACACAAGCAAAAACCCCTGCTTTTGCAAACAGCCTAGCTGCTGGGTTTCACAAAGAGCCGGACTGACTTTCAGTGTTTCGTTTGGACTCCAGCTAGGAAGCTGCAGCCGCCACCGAGAACTAAAAAACCTGAATGAACGGCAGCTTTCATATTATGCATCCTGCTGAGCAGCAGCAAGGACAGTAAGAGACAGAGGTTCTGAGTCACACGGTAAGTTAAATGGATCGAAGTTGGGGAAAAAAAATACTATTGCTATAGGGAACAAAGTGTTCCCACCCTGCAGAAGCCGGTTGCTTGGGTGAGGCTTCACTGCCGCAGGCAAAATCAGCGCAAGGCCAGGTTATTGCTGAGCTGGCTCAAATTTGTTCCTACTAACACTCCTCGTCTCTTTAACCACCTTTTGCACTCCAGAGCGATGCTTGCTTCTATTCTGATCTTGCTCTTAGCCGTGGCTGGGCAGTGGGATGGGGACAGTGCTGATCTGATGCAGGCTCCCCTGCTGCCATGGGAGCCCAGGGCAGGAAAAAGCTGATTCTTGGCATCTCCTGCAGCTGTGGAAACTTTCCGGGCACTTTGCTTCTGCAGCCTCACTGGGGAACCGCAGTTGTTTGAAACGTGCTGCTCGCTCCCAAGCCATGGGCAGGGCTTTGCAGCAGTGAGACAGGAGGGTCCCCTGCCCCTGTGTCCCACCCCCGGACCCGCGGCAGGGACCCCTCTGCCTGCTCATGGAAAGCCGAGATCCCGGAGCAGCCGGGTCAGTGGCAGCAAGTCCCGGGAAAGCTGCTGTTCCGCTGGGAAGGGCGAGGGAGAGTTGGGTGCCGTCCACTCCATCAAAGTGATTTGTTCTATCGGAGACGCTGCCCTGGGAGTGATGTACTGGAACGTGCCCTGTGGCAGCGCGGGGCTGAATCACCGGCGGGGTTTGCTACGGAGACGGGACGGCTTTCAAGGAGCCGCTGAGGCTGGAGCAGAGCCATGTCCAGGACATTGCCAGGAGCTGGAGGTGCAGGCAGGGAAGAGGAGGAGAAGAGGAGGAAGAGTTGTTTCTTTAGGAACCAGCAAACATCTTTTTTCTCCCTGAGATAAGCGTGATACCAGCAGCTGCAGCACCATGCGAAGATGCTGGTGCCCAGGGGCACAGGACCGTTCCCATCCAGGCACACTGCAGGGGGCTGCGTTAAAGCCATACAGCCCCCCAGGTCTAAGCGTGTGCGGGAAGCAGGAAGGGATGTTTGCTTGGGATCCTCATCTCTTCGCACACCTGAGAGGTGAGAGCACGTGGGGACTGCGTGAGCTGCTGCTGCTCAGGGTTGTACTGGTTGTACTGGTGGGGGTGAAGGTGTTCCACCTCCTCCCCGAGACAGAGGAATTGGGGCGAGTCACCCACACTGGAAACAGGCACAGGCTAAAAAAGCACCAGACAATAAAAAACAAACCAGATCATTAGAAATGGAGCTACAAACTCACTGACCAGATGTCCACCCAAGCCATTACAAATATGGATGCGGTTAACATTCCCGGAGCTCTCCATGGCTGGATCCTGGCTTTGCCTCTGTTCCCACCCCACTCACAACTCTCCGGGCTCAAACCGGCCCGACTGGCTCTAGTAGCATTCCCATCCCCTCTTCTGCTTCACCCCAGCGTTGTATAAACACTGCGGACACGAGGGCGTTAACGTCGGTCATCTGCAAACCACTACAGCCAGCGGAAATTTTTAAACCATGTTGCTTTTTGGCATCCAAATATTCTTGACTGTGAGCCCTCAAGTCACTTCATGGCTGCAGACGGGCTCCGGATGTTCGGCTTGAGCGAAGCATCCCTGCAGCATCGTGTCGGAGAGGAGCTGCCCCGTGCTCGGCTCCGGCACCGCAAGCAGAGGAACAGCCCTGGCTTGGAAAACACACAAGCTCCTTCAGGCTTTTTTACAATAAGTTGCTCATGAAGAAATTTTAGATCCTCCTGGGGAAGAAAAAGAAAAAAAATCACAAATAAATGATTTCCAAGAGGAAGTCCAGTGTCCAGACAAACCCAGCCCTAAGGATGCTTCGCTTCCTGCTGCTGGCGATGCAAAGGGCTCCGGAGCGGTGAGGAGGTCGAGGCTGGACAGAAGACAAAAGGTAAAAAAGCAGAACCGGAATTTTTTCCATCTCTGGAACAATGCCGAGGTTCGAGGCTGACACATCCATGTGTTTTCCATCTCTGTGGCGCAAGAAAGGTTTGACTCTGAACTGCCCCCAGATGACCCATGCAGCCCAGATCGGTCACTAATTCAAACGGGCGGTGGCTGGCGCTGTCCCGCACACTGTGAATTTAAAAACAAAGATAGTCATAGATTGCTTTTCCGAGTGAAGCCCTGGGAATAACAGGAAAGAAGATGCTGGCAGGAATTTAAAGCGCAGCTCAGGGATCCAAGAACAATTTCTGCCGTGTGAGCTCTCAATAAAGCAGCGTGTGAGCTCAGCACAGGTATTAATGGGATTTATTCTGCCAGCATCCCTGCGGGGTAAGGTCGTACTTCCACTGTGCCCAGTGAAAAACATGGGCCTGGGGTAGATTAAGGGAGAAGTGTACCTTGAAATGCCCATGGACCATGGCTTGGCCAAGATCAGGGTTCCCATTGCAATCTCTGTGTTGCCAACCAGAGGGAAAACCTTTTGGTCCAGCCTCCAGGCTGACTGGCTTTGCATCCTTGCTCTATTTTCTCTGTGTGCAGAGCAAGTGAGCTATTTTTGCAGATATTATGGGGATTTCTTATCATTTCAATTGCACAAATGTGTTCCTTCATATCGAAGTGTTAAAATTCCTCGGGTACACAGAATGATTAAAAAGCTTTGCGTGAGCAAATGCGCTGCATACATAAGCTGTCTACCTTGAGCTATAAGATTAAACTCAATCATGAACCAAAAAAATCAATCAAGGTGCTCTCTCCAGCTGTAATAGCATCAGGAAAATATATTTAAATAAGAAGCTGCACAGAAGAAGAAAGAATCACATCATTTAACTCCCTGAACTGGAACTAATGGTTTCTGCCCTTCCCTAGCAAAGGTCTGGGGCATCTCTAGAGCCCTGCGTGGGAGCAATTTGGCTTGTTTTTGGCTGGCAGACACTGGGAATGCCAGGTGTTGCTGGAAAACCAGCACTTTGGATGCAGGTTATTCATTACAGGTTAAAAAAAAATGTGTAAATAAAAAGATTGATGGATTATATTTAAGTTAGAGAACTTTCAAGGTCAGTGCAAAGCAAAAATATGTTATTTAATCATCTCTTCTGCCTTGGACTGAGCATGGTAGACAACAGCATCCCTGGTTGGGCACTGCATCCTGACCAGCAGTGTGTTAAAGGGTTGGTATTGCTTGCTCTGGTTAGAAAGACAGACACACCCTTTCAGAAGGGTCTGAACAACTGGAGTATTTGGATTTAATGCAAGGAGACTGGTATTTTCACTTGTTTTTCTTCTTGTTTTGGGCCAGGCAGAAATACCTGAACAAACAATCCCTTTTGGTAATATTTTAATCTTGTCTTTCCACTCGGAAATTCAGAGGGGAAGAAAAGGGACAGAAAAAGCCAAGTCTTTTTATACCTTAGCTAAAGAGTGGTTTCAGTCAAAGAAATCTTTCATTACATTTAAGCAGCTCTCCAACAATAACATCTATTCTGATGTTATAACGAACACAAACAACCACCAGCCATCCTCATCACCAAAATCCACTGAAATTCGCTGCCTTTTCATCAGACGTCTTATTTCATCATTCATAAATTGTAATTTTCTTTGCCAGAATATTGCCCAAAAGATAGATCTGCCCATTCAGCACATGCAGAATTTCTTCCTTAGCATCAGATTAAATTCACACTTGGTTGCTGGGCTCCATCCGGGCTCCACTTGCAGAGGCTGGGGGCTGTGAATGGGGAGGCTTGAAAGTCATCTAGGAAGAGCAAATAATTTATCTTGCAATTACCTATTGCAACAGAACAGGTCGTGGGCTCGGCCTCATGGGGAGTTTTCTGCTTCGCGAGCGTTTTGCAAGAAGTGTCAGAAGCATCAAAGCAATTTACATTTTTCGACATGTTGCCGCAAGCTTTTCAACTGAAACGTTTCAAACTCATCGGCAATTAACTGTTTCAAAATGAACCCCAGCTAAAGAAGAGCCAAACAAGCTGAACTGAAAAAAAGAGTTTTGAGACAGGGAGGGCATTTTCATGTCCTCGGGTAAAATATTTACAGATTGCAAAGCTTCCAAAGACAGGAGACCGGTTTCCCTCCCAGCCGTTAGGATGCCTGTGTGTCTGTCATAATCTCTGGGTTTTTCTACCCGATGGGAATAACAAGTTTTCTGAATTGAACCAGTTTGCAGGTTCCTCATACGGAAGACAAAGACATGAATTTATCCTCCCAGTTTCCATCTGTTGCTTTCAGGATGCTCTTGCCCATCTCTAGAGAGGTGTCATGAAGGATGACCAAGGAGAAACGAACTCAGTTTTGCAGCCTTGGGGCATTCAGCTCGGTACTAATGCATCATTTCAGGCTCTAACGAGTGTGTCAGCTGGCGGTGGGAAGGAGGATGGATGTTGCTTGGTGGGAAGGAGGATGGATGTCCCTCGGTGGGAAGGAGGATGGATGTCCCTCAGTGGGAAGGAGGATGGATGTCCCTCGGTAGGAGGGAGGATGGATGGATGTCTCTCGGTGGGGAGGAGGATGGATGTCCCTCGGTGGGAAGGAGGATGGATTTATGTCCCTCCTGGGTGGGGATCTGAGTGATGTGCGGGAGAGGCAGCCATCCAGCCCGGGCTCTGGTGAGTCATGGCCAGAGCAGAGCAAAGCCCAGCTCGTTGTTTGCTGCCTTCTCTAAGAAAATGAACCTGTGCAGCTGAAGTCAAATCCATCATCGCCACATTTGCGAAAATAAGACCACAATAATTATCTTTAAGGGAAAAAACAAATGGCTAAAAACAGCCTCTCGCTTTACCTCACAGGGCTGAAATTCTGAGCTTCATCCTTTTGTATTTTTTTTTTCCAAGGCATCAGATTTGACTTCCCCACCACCACAAGAATTATATTTGCTTCTCCTCTGAAATTTGGCTCAAATCATTCTTTTCTCCAGATTGACATGATCTTATTATAAGGAAATCCTTACCAGGTTTGTTTCCTTTCCTGATGAACATTTGATTTCTCTGGTTTGGGGTTTTTTCCTTCATCTGATCTCCGGTTTTGTGCTGGATATCTTCCAAATATAATCCCATATTGCTGAATTCATCGTCCTTTTCTTGCAGTCCTCTCAGACTCTTTGCTCTCTTACCTTTTTCTTATTTTACTTCTTCTTCTGTCCCTTCTTGTCTGCTACGAGCAGACTGCAAATCTGAAACTCTGTTTATTCACATACATCATTAAGGTTTCACCTAACCACAGATATTGCAACCAAAACACACTTCAGTGAACTAACTTCACTAACTTTTTGAAGGAAAACATGGTGTGGGGGTGTCAGGTCTAGGATGCCCTAAACTGGCTGGATTGTTGCATCATTTGCTTCTTTTTTTTTTTTTTCCCAATGCAATTTCTAGCCGGTAACTTGAGTAATAGTTCTTCATGAATCATGCAAGTGGCCATGATTTCTTCGGGGGGTGCTTGGATCACAATACTGTAAAATGCGCACAACCTGAACACTGATTTTTCACCCAGACTTTTTTTTTTTTTCCCCTTAAGTCACTTCTGAAAAAAAGAAAAGTCATTCATCTTAGGGAGAATAATGGCCTATAAAAATGTAAAGTAATTTCTTCATATTTATGAATCCTTTCCCTGCCGCCCATTATGAATACCCCTCTTAATGAATGCTCTTTCTCCTTCATGAAGGTATTATGAGCAGTTATGCCCTCTGGTTTTAATGTTCTGGTAATGTAATCAAATGCCCTACACTTTATCCCCAGGGTGTTGACTGCCCACGCTCCTAAGAAGGGCTAAATAGCTTTCAGTCCCCCAGGGGATATATTGGCCCTGATTGCCTGGGACTCTGTGTGAACATGTCTTTAGACCATGTGTATATGCACCAACTGTAATCACAGCAGAGGAGACCCCAGGAACATTACATGGACCCCGAATGCTCTCCATCGTGCAAACTTTCTGTTCTGGTCACATACGGGCTGGTTATTGATGAGCTGGTGGCCTTTTAGACTTGCATTGCATTTCTGCTCCTGTTTGGCAGCACGGAGATGGCTTAAGAAGTGAATGAAAATTAAAAAGGACTTAATGAAAATGAAATTCAGGCCCTGAACACTGATAGAAAGAGAGTATTAATCCCGCCTCAGACTTGTGCCTGGAATGAGGTACAACTGTGAACAGAAAGATGATTTCAAGTTGTGACAGATTTGATGAAAGAACTTTCGTTGCTGTCAAAAGGAAGGTTATTATGTTGCCGCTAATAAGTATTCATGGGGTTGCCAAGGAGCTGGATTGCACCAAGTAATAAAAGGTGTGAATGACAGTTCTTCTGGGCAGGTAAGAACTAGAAGAAAGCATCTCCCAAGAATGCCTGTACAACCCAAGTACCTTGCCCCATGCTGACAATTTTTTAATATTTTTGCAATTTTGTGCATTTCATGCGCGGTGAAGCCTTTGCAGAGTTCTGGGGCAGGATGCCCTCCCTCCTTCCCTCTGCACAGCCCAAACATGCAGATGGGACCTGTGTGTCCGTTGAGCTATTTCTGAAAGCCAGGACATCTAGGTGCTACCTTCCCCACCTGTTCCAGGAATTAAAGCTGCTAGAAGAGGAGCTGTAAAAGCTGTTCCCAGCCTGAGGTCAACAAGAGTCCATCTGACTCACTGGGCTTTGGATAAGGTCCAAAAAGGCATCGGTCCAAATTCTGCCTTGTACGAAACACCACCGCAATCAGTAGAATGACACTAATTATACATGGTACGAGGAGGCAGTTGCTTGTCTCCAGCTCCAATCCCTCCACAGGAAGAGTGCTGATGGGGAGTTAAAGCAAATCCACCTCCTTTGCCCCACCAGAAACATTTTCTCTCTGTTCATTTCACCCAGTATCGTGGGCCTTTGGAGCTTGCCACTAGCAGATGAAAATGTAACAGATGATCTCCAAAACTAGCATTTCTGCAGAGCAAACCCCAGTTCAGTCTGTTTGCTGCAGCTGCTTGGCTTCTCATTCTGCATTTTGGAAAATAAAAATGGAAAGCATAAGCATAGACAGAAATTCTGCTAGGAAGAGCACATGGATATGGTAAAAGCCACAAACTGCTTGGCAAAGGCACCTTGGGAGGAGGTTACCAGCAAGAGGCTGGGAGAGACCATCTAAAGAGACAAATGCTTTTGGTTTATTTTAGTTTCTTTTTCCTCCAGGTTTTTCCTAAAAAAAAAAAAAAATCAGGTTTAGGCTCTGTATCTAAATAAAGGTTCACTTGCTACATCTGATTTTGAATTTTTCAGGATGGCAATGCAATAAACAAACCAACACTTCATGTCTTTTACCCAGCAGCTTTTGCAAGGGCTGTTCCAACCACCACCAGGCAGCGAGTGTGCCTTGAACAGCGCTTGCTACAACAGCTTTAAGTATCTCAGCCTTAGCTTCCAATCTCAGCTGGCTTTGGCTCTGGTCTTTTTTTTCTCTTTTTTTTTCTTTTGTTTACCTGGCGTCTCGTGTCAGATATTCCAACCGTAGGTAATGAGGGACAGGGATTGCCTTTTCCGTTGCTTGTAAACAGTACACAGTGGGGCACTCTTCCTACCTGGAGTCTCCTGGTGCCACTACGAGATAAGCTAATAATTAATCAGAAGAAATGCACCCGGTGGTAACATTAACAGATGGCCCATCAGAAGTGCCAATTCGAATCCCTGTGTTAATCATTTCTGTTCCTTTGCTCGGTCCAGCTGGCTCTGCTGAAGATGAGTGCCATGTTGTTCCTGCTCTTGGTGTCCATGGCAAACGTCGGTGCTGTGCTAGACAAGGGTCTACCAAGGCGGGAACAACCGCGGCGCCTCTCGTGCGTGCGATGCTGCGGGCCTTCGGAGCAGCCCGTCTCCATCATCTCCTCCCGATACACGAGGATGAGCAGCGACCCTGCCTATTCGGTACCCAAAGTCCAGCCCACTATAGATATCACCATCCTCAAAGGTGGGTACAGCTGATGACCATGATCACATCCTTTATCTTACTTGCTCACCCGCATTTTGCAAGATGTGCTCCTCCCTGTACTAAGAAACTCATCCACTTTATTTACCCCAAAGAAGGGCAAGGGCTGTAACTGTGTGCAAATGAGAAGAGTTGGTGAAAGACACTAATCCATCAAAACCCAGAATCAGTGGAAGCTCAACTTAGGTCCCACTAAAAACCCGATGCAAGTGTTATCACAGAATTACTAAACGGTAGTTATAAACTAGGAAGGATGCTCACTCGCTTTTTCCATTGCACATTTTTTGTCTCAGTAAGGCAGGCAAAAAAAAAAAAAAAAAAAGCATATAATACAGGAGATGTGCCAGGGAGTCCTGCAAGTGGGGCTGCGCAGACCAGACAAACCCAACCACCTCTTCCAGACCCAAATCAGACCTCAGCAAAATCAGTAACTTTTCTTGCCCAAACCTCTGGACACAGGGACTGGGTTCATGAATACTGGATTCATCCAACTGCTGTGGTCAGGCTTGGATATTGAACATTGGCCCAACAAGCTCAGTGGGGCCAGCTTTCACCTGGCACTCTTATCCTTCTGAAAATTAAGAGCGTGCTGGTGTCTGACCAATGCTTCCAGATATCCATACTGGGAAAACAGCATTTTAGCAGCTGCTTTGCTGGTTGTCTCCAGCAAGGATGCTTCTGCAGCCTGGGCTACGCCTGCTTGTGTTTGACAAGGTTCTCCTTTATGCCCACAGGTGAGAAAGGTGAAATGGGAGAGAAAGGGTACCCTGGAGCAGTTGGGAAGGAAGGACAAAGAGGGTTACGTGGTGTTAATGGACAGAAAGGCCAGAAAGGCCAGCCTGGCCCACAAGGCCATTCCTGCAAGCAGCTCTACGCCGCCTTCTCGGTGGGTCGGAGAAAACCCCTTCACAGCTCAGACTACTTCCAGCACGTCACTTTTGACACCGAGTTCGTGAACCTCTACAAGCACTTCAACATGTTCTCGGGGAAGTTCTTCTGCTATGTGGCAGGAATCTACTACTTCAGCCTCAACGTCCACACCTGGAACTTCAAGGAGACCTACCTGCACTTGATGAAGAACGAGAAAGAGGCGGCCATCCTCTACGCCCAGCCCAGTGACCGGAGCATCATGCAGAGCCAGAGCCTGATGCTGGACCTGCAGGAAGGAGACGAGGTCTGGGTGAGGATGTTCAAGCGGGAGCGAGAAAATGCCATCTATAGCGAGGAGTCTGATGTTTACATCATCTTCAACGGCCATTTAATCAAGCCAGCCGTAGAGTAGCCATGCATCAGCTTTAGGCTCAAAGCTTTGGTAGATAGATTAGCATCTTCCCTTTTAGAAATGCACACATCTAGTTCCACTTGGAAGGATCACGGGCCTCCTGGCCTGCCAACAAAGTTGTCTGTCCATGCCAAAGACACCTGTGTGGATGGAGGTGACTGTTCCAAGGTGGTGCAAGCTACACAAGTACCGAGAAGGCTTCAGCCCTTATGTGCCCTGAAGAAGACCCATGTATAGATCCCCAGTAACATCCCTAAAGAGTTTGCCAGGTTGGCAGCAAAAATTTAACTTCTTTGCTCTTCTTTAGAGAAGACAATTATATCTGAGGATCATCTTCAGATACCAGTTATCTGGGTGCTAGTTAAGGACTGTCAGCAGTCCTACAACAACACTTGAGTATCTTTGTTGTGTTGCTAGTGATAGCCCACACTTGCCAGCACCTACTCCAGGTCTGCTCCACTCAGGTAGGCACGAACACACCAGTGTTAAGAACAATATTTTGCACAGTACATTTGCCCTAAATTACATTTCTGTTCCATTTCAGGTAATATTGCATTCTGAGAGCATAATGTTCTAATTAGATAAATAACAGCGTATCGATCTGGCAAAGCTTTTTCGGAGGCATCTAGTTTTAAGTACAGCTGTAGCCATGTGCTGTAACTTTGCTAGACTTCTGTACTGCTAGCAATAGAACATCCAACACGGCTGGGAATGTGTGTATTTCCCATTTTAAGGAAAACGGTGGGTGCTGCCTTAGGATCCAATTTCAGAGTGCTCATTGCCAAGTTGGAATGTGAGGCCATGCTCATGTCTGAAACCTCATTTCTGGAAAGTGGAGAAGAAAATTGTAAAGAAGAAAGGTGCTTTACTGCAAGCAGCAATATTCTAGGGGATTTTTTTTTTCCTAAAATTTATTGACATAACAGTGGAAAGGTACACGCAGCAGCAAGAAACATCATTTTCCCCAGCTCCTCCTTTACCGTTCCCCCAGTCTGTTGCTCGCATCCCAAGCCATTTGTATGAAGGATAGATGAGAAGTTCTTGCTAGGCAAACTGCTTCACTGCCGTACCTCACCTACCCACAGCTGTTTGGAAAAGCAGCTGAAATAAAAATATTGCTTTGAGTACACTTGCTTTGAGTACCCTGGTTTTGCTTATCTTATCTCCATAAGATTTTTCACTGTACAGGGCTAAAAGCACAAGACCGAACACCCAGTCCTATATACCACCACAACCTCAGGTGGCAATTTTAGTTACTTTAACACCAAAGGACTCCAGAAACTAGACTGACACCAACTCCTCTCCTGCAGGCCAGTAAACAGCCATCATCAAGGATCAGGACAGGGAGACAGAGAAGTTAACGACCCCTTGCTGTAAAATAAATACCAAATCTTGGAGATCTCACAATCTTCATGAAGATAGGAAATTTCAAGCAGCCTTTCTGCAAAGTAAATGCATGATGAAAACGGGTCTACAAGCCTTGAGACATCAAGTCTGCTCCTGCTTCCATCCCACGTATAGCTTTAAAAAACACCCCTAAAGGCATTTCATGCAGCTCCCCACTGACCTGCTGTCAGCTATCCCAGCTGCTTAGGCCATTGCACAGCATCTCCTTCCCACCCTCCTTCGAAAAAAGCTTCCCCATCAGCTGCTTCCATTAGGACGGTGGTAAAAGCCCTGATGGCTGCGCTGCGAGATGAAACCTTTCCACCGCGATGGACTCAGCGAAGGCATTTGCAGAGTGGTTTTCCCAGCCATGTACCACATTTGAGAGCTCAAAAGTTTTTTTCCCTGTCCTTTTTCCCTGCTTCTAAATCATTCCCTGCCCAGGCTTAGATTTTGCAGCTGCAGAAAGCTGTCCTGCGGGTGCAGGGAACCGCTGGCAGAGGAGCTCCGGAGATGCCTGTGGTGGAGCTGGGATTATTCACTGATGCGGTTGCAGGGCTGTCTGACATTCCTCACACATCCAGCAGTTTCACCGCAGTTTCGGCTTACCCCCCTCTGCAGTTCCCTCCATTGACTATAATTAAAAATACAAAAAAAATCCAGCCCTCTGAAAATGTCATGCCCAGCCAGAGTTATTGACAGTGCTTAATCCAGCACGGGAAGAAACACACACAGAATGTGTTTATGTTCAATCTGCACTGATTTTGGAAAAGTTACTTTCTACCAGGATGCAAGCAGCAAAAATCCATCCATCTCTATCGCTATGTATGCATCTCTCCATAACACACGGTTCGAGATAGTCTGATTACTAAAGCAAGAGAACACATTCAAAATGCTCATGACTGACACGCCAGTGGCATAAGCAAGTAAATCATTAAAGCCACATTGGTTTCAGGTGCAGAATAACCTTTCAAATAATAAAAACGGTTATTGGCTTGCATACATTATTCAAATTACTCATTTATAGCATAAAAGAAGATTCAACCTGCCAAGTTCTTTGGGAAAAAAAAAATTGAAATATCTAACAAGCTTAATGTACAAAGACATTCCTACAGCCACCTTCTGAACGCATCCCTCAGTTTGTTCCAACTTCAAGGGCTGGGACAAGCATCCCTGTTTAGATAAGTGCTCCCTGTTTTCTCTCCTAGTTATTCTGTCCCTGGATGCTCGGTTCTGGTCAAATCCTGCTGCTCTGCACTGTCAGCCTCTCTTAAGTTGATTAAATTTCTGAACTAGTTCATTGACTCTCTGAAACTGTTCTGGTGAGCTGCAAAGCAAAAGTCATCTTTAAGAGAGCCCTTACAGCTTAATTCCTAATAAATAGAGCAGCGGGTGAAGATTAGGTCTTGTCTTGCTGCAGGTTTAGCAGCGAATCTGAAGCCCAGTTAATTGCCTTCCTTACACCCCTGGGGTGGCAATGAGTAGTCAAAGCCAGGTGAGAAGAGGACCAGGGAGGACTGCCACTGTCCCTTGAGCTACCCACTGAAGCCACCTGGCTCCTGTGCTCTCTCCTGCTCACCCCGTGCTTGTGCTACCCTGGAGAGGGGATGCGCTCATCCTGCTGCTCCCGCTGTACAGCAGCGCCCGGGGCCAGGCTTTGGGTGTAAGCCTGCAGTGATGCTCTGTGCTCAGTCTTTAAACTGTGCTCTTCAAAGAGAGGTTCCTGGATTGGATTTCAGCCTGCAGCAATAAGTCATCCCTTAGGAGCTGCTGTAATCACAGTTCTCTTCTGGCTCATCACAAGCTTAGTAAGGACTGTGAGACAGCGTGAATCAGGCTTTTCCCAGCAAAATGAGATTGGTAAAATCCCTATTCTGCCAACTTTCACACAAAATGTTAAGTTCCTCTAACTCTTTGTGTGCTTTTCTTTTTTTCTTCTTTTCTTTTTTTTTTTTTTTTTTTTTTTTCCTGGAAATATTCAGAATGGGACCTGGCAGCAAACATGCTTCTCCCCAGCAGCAGTTTGGCGTTGCTCCTCTGATCCCACACGGGGCACGCTGTCTTTGGGCAGCCTGTGCTCTAAGAGCCTTTAGGCACTAAGCAGTTTGCTTTGAGGATGTGCTGGACATTTTTGGAAGCCTGATTACCCTCCTCATCCCTTTTGAAACTTCTCTTAAGGTAACCAAATCTTAAAAGCAGTAATCACCCAAAAACTAAAACCTGACAAATTCTTCCTGAGCACATCTGGGGATGTGTGGGAACATCTGTGGCGTCAGTGGGAGATTCTGACATTGCTTAAGTATCAGCTGCTCTGTGGATTAGCTAATATTGCACACAGATATCATCATGCTGCATCCTGCTCACCTCTCTCCATCACAGGGATGCTGCCACCTCTTGCAGAAGGGGTACCCAGCAGATCCTGCACCCCCATCCTCTCCCAGCCTTGTTTTGGGTGGGGGGGCTGCTTCGGGTGAGGTTTCATCCCTCTTGGCTTTCTGGAAGCATCCTTCTCTGTCAGTCTGGGTAAGAACAAAAGGAACCTCTGCCTTGGGCAAACTGCTTTCTTCCTCTCAGTTAAGGAAACTTTGATTTTACAACAGGAACAGGCAGATAAAATCCATGCAGATAGAGAAACCAGGCAACAAATCAAGCTAATGGGTTGCATTTGGGTGAGTTGAATGGAACTTAATGATTCTACTAAGAACCTATTCGCTACCAGAGATTTAAAGTAGCAGATAGAGCAGGAAAGTGTTAAAACAAATAGAAACCACTCGGACCAGGGAGCAATCCAGAGCTGAAAGGCTGGAGACTTTGGCCAGCACATGCTGTGCTGACATCGCTGCTTCCCCACCCTTGCCCTTCAGTCTGCCGGGCTGGGGGGGCGCTGGGAATGGTGTTTCCCAAACCATTGGGGTGTCTGCAGACAGAGCAGCCGGGGTGCCCCGGGACAGGCTGGGGAGCCCTCCATCATCCCCCCCATGAGTTTCTCAGGGCAAGGTGGGACGCAGCGGGGGGGGGAGGTTTCCATGTCCTTGCTCCATGCTGTGCACCTTGCCTGTCCCTGCCACAGCCTGACGGTGCCTCTTTCTCCTCCCGCACCCTCATTTTCCAGGGCGGTTTTATCTTTCAGGGTAAAGGTCCAAGCAGCAGCACCTGCAAACTGCAAACCTGTGTCATCCCTCTGCCCGTTCACAGTACCTGGCTCCTCAGCACCACTTCTTTGCCTAATTTTGTGAGATTTTAGATGCTTTCTGCCTTCAGTTAGAATTCCCTTGGTAAAAGAGGTCACACGCTGTGTGCCCCTACAATGGGACAGGAGCTGTCTTATCGAGTCATAGACTCACAGAATGGTTTGGGCTGGAAGGGACCTCAAAGCCCACCCAGTGCCACCCCTGCCATGGGCAGGGACACCTCCCACTAGCCCAGGTTGCCCAAAGCCTCATCCAGCCTGGCCTTGAACCCCTCCAGTGTACAATGGGGCCAGACCCATCTTCTCGTGGGGAGAGCTCAGAGCTGGGGACTCGTCCTCATGGTGCTGGATTTGTCCACAGTAGGACCGTGGGCAGAGCTCTGTCCCCTCTGCCAGCGCTGCCTGCAGCTCCAGGACTGTCACG